CTAGTGCTCCCAGGCATATTTTTTGATATTAGGTCTACTGTTCTATTGCAAATTCAAAACAGCCAATCTCAGTCACTTCTCCCTTTGCATCAAATCACCTTGGAAGCAGCAACCAGGAAGCTTCTTGATTATGCTTGTCTTAAAGCAAAGGTCTGCACAGGCAAGAGTCTTTTTGGTCACTATTTGAGTGGCTGCTCAGTCGTTGATCTGTTTGTGCCCTGTCATCTTGAGAGCAGCAATTGAGCAGCTGGCTAAGCAATGACCAAGAAGCCTCTCAACATGCCAGCCTCACAGCAAAGGCCAGTGTGGACAAGAGGCCTCTTGCTTGCTGCTCAGGGAACTACTCAGTTGATGCTCCCAGGTGACCAGGTGCCAGGGAGAAGCTTCTCCCTAGACAAGAGGAACTCTCAATCCTTCATCAGGACAGAGAAAGGTGGAGCCAGTGTGTGTAGCGGGTTTACAGAAGCCACATGCTCTGGACTGGAGACTGGTGTGGACCAGAAAAGTAGAGATTTTAACTAGAGAAGCTACTCCAATAATCTTTCTTTCCAATAATCAAAAACAGATATTCCTTCCCCAGATATGTTGTTGTTATTGTTATTGTTGTTGTTGTTGTTGTTATTTATTGTATTTATGCCCCACTGTTTAGAAATGCTCTCAGAGCAAAAGACATGTCTTCCTCACACAGTTTCAAGTGTCCACTCGCCCACAAAAGAATTGTTTCTTCTGCTTCCTCTTTTCTCAGCCTGTCTGATGAAAGAAAGCAGGAACAGCAGTGCAATTCCAACCTGCCAGCCAAGTTCCAACAAAGCTCACAAAGCTTAAGCAGGGCCCCAAATCTGAAAGCCCCCTTTTGCTGCCACTTCTCCTCTGCCATCATGTGCTCTAACTCTTTGCTCCAGTCTGTCCCAACATGGTGCCTTTCTGAGCCACAGAAGTGATGCCCTCTGTCCACGCCTCATGAGAGTTTCCCAATTGCCACTACTAGTGAAAGACACTAGTAAGAGAGTGAGCTCACATGGGCAGGCAAAGAGCTGGAGATAGCACCACACAAAATGAACAGTGAGGCTGTGTAGTGATTTTTTGAGACCCTGAAAAGAAGTTTCATGCATTCCTCAGCCCCACTATGTTCCTAAAGGCCGCTGGTTTCCCTTGTCTTTCTTGCACACCAATATTTTGACTGAAGGCTCCCCTGCCCCCC